CCCCCCCCACACACCCCCCCCCCCCCCCCCCCCCACCCCCCCCCCCCCCCCCCGCGGGGGCGGGCCCCCGTAATAAGGCACGAACGAACTAACGAACAGAGTTCAAACTTTTACATATTAGAGAAGTTATTGATCTACACATTTGCTGATAACCTGAAAAGTCTTATTCATCCATCGTCTGGAACATACTTGCTCAAAGTTCAAAACCTGTCTGTGCACTACCTATGATGTTTGTGTTAATAATTCATAGCTGATTATACAAGAAAATATTTCTTTGCAAGATCATGATAAAAATACATGTAAAAATTTTATAAAAATTCTTGTTTGAAATGCTGAGAAACAATAGTCTTTCAAGATTATCGACAAAAAAGTAGACTAGCGTACACTTCTATAAACGGCGAACTATTTTGTAATCTTAGGCAAAAAAATTTTAATTGTTCTCTTATTTCTGATATACTTGAATCACGTACATACTTTTAAGACAATCGTTTAGAGTACATCATCCACCGAAGATGAAACCGTAAAGCCAATGGATTCTGTCAACATCCATGAAAATGTATGATCAGTATTAATATGTCTATTTTCTATTTATATTTTATCGAAGAAAATTTTTTCAACAGGGTTTATCTACATCTTTACAAATGAATGATATTGAAGATATAACTAATATTCCTTCAAACACTGTATGTTGTTTAATTTAAACATCCATTCATCTATTCTTAAATTTAATGATAATATCATATATCTTTAAGGTTAATAAAAGTGGTCTAGTGAAGAAAAGACTTAGTCGATTTAGTGCACAATTTCAATCAATTAATTTAAATGTAAGATAATGTTGTTACTGAACGAAAATAACTGAATACTATAGTTAATTAAATAATCATTTTAGAGACATGATAAACACCGATCAAGTTTACCATTGAGTAACGACAATGAAGTTAAAGTGAGTAAAATATTTTTTTATTTTAGATAAATGATAAAACACTGAATATTTTAATCTAAATAGAAATTACGTACGAAAAAGAGTATATCTTCCGAATTCGATAATTCAAAAGTACCTTTGAACAAACTGAAAGTAATTAGCAAGAAGAAACTTTTTAAGTATGTATTGAATATTGAACAGCAATCACATGAAAATTTAATTATCTTTGGATTTTTTTTTGCTCTGTAGAAATGGTATTTCCGGTGCTCGTTGCGCATTGATTACGATCGGTGCAATTTTTGGCGCGTGTGTATTGGCGCTGATTTTAGCACTAGTTCTTACTCTCTCAAAAAGTAGCAGTGGGGGTAAGATATTACATGTGTGAAATGAGTGTCTTTTACCTTTTGAAAGATATCTAAAAATTATGATTTAATAACTCTTAATTGCGTCATTCTTTTATGAATAACGAAGAGGACGGTTAATTAGAGATTCTTCTAACTCATTCTCTCTCTACTGCGTGATGTGAATGATGTTTATAATTATTGGTATCAGGCAAAATCTGACATTTACTTGGATTGACTATGTATCGTGTAAAAATGCCGTTTAGCGCGTGCACACTGGCGTCAATCTTAGCAGTAGTTCTTACTCTCTTAAAAAGTAAACTTTCTTTCTTTTTCTCTCTTCAAAATGCTACACTTGCTTATGAAACAAACGCAATTCACTTAAATTTTTTTAGGCGCTTCAAGCATTTCTTCCGATTCAACAACAATAAACAATAATTTAACGACGGGTAATGGATAATACTCAAATTACTACATGTATAAAACGAGTGTTTTCTACCTTTTAAAAGATATCTAAAAATTATGATTAATAACTCTTAATTGCATCATTCTTTTATGAATAACGAATTGGACGAGTTAGTTAGCGATTCTTCTAACTCATTATCTGTCCTCTAGTGTGAATGATACTGATAATTATTGATGCCAGACAAAATCTCACATTTACTTGAATTGACTGTGTATCGTGTAAAAATGCCAAAATCACTGTACTGTAGCCATTCATTCATTTGAGCCAAAAATCAGCACGTTTAGAACGACTTTTCCTCCAACCGTGGTAGAAGTTCAACTTCAACTTCAATACGGTGTGAAAAAAAGGCTAACAATTGATCGGGTTAGAGGTTAGGCAATAAATTTGGCTAGTTCTGCTACACAACAGTACGTAGAATAATACGTGGAAGTCATGTTACTCGATTAGGACGTCAGAAGTTTTCTTATTAATTATTCTCTTGTCCTGTAGCAACAACAGCAGCACCGTTCACCGGTAACCCATGTGGCACACTATGGAACCCAAATGGCACCACTGTTGCTGGAATAACTCGCACGTATGGTACATCATCAAGTCTGTTGCGTTACCCTAGTGGTATTTTTATAGATAAAAATGATATAATGTACATAGCTGATACATGGAATAATCGAATACAAAAATGGGTCATAGGCGCTTCCAGTGGTACGACAGTAGCAGGCGATACTACAGGGGCCAACGGCTCAGCGCTGAATACGCTATCATTACCTTATGGCGTTTTTGTTGATCAAAGTCAAAATGTCTATGTTGCTGATACTGGAAATTATCGTATAATGTATTGGGGGAATGGAATGTCGACTGGTAGTATGGTAGCGGGAACAGGTGCGTATGGTAATGGATCAAATGAATTAGGAGGCTGTGAGGGTATCTATGTTGATTCATCTGGTACTATGTATATAACTGATTTCAACAACCATCGTGTCGTGAAGTGGACAGCCGGAGCTGCAACTGGTTCAGTAGCTGCCGGTGGTAATGGTATAAGTAATACCACAACACAATTAGGTTTTCCGTGGGGTATTGCTGTTGATACAACTAATAGCGCCATGTACATAGCCAATTGGGGTCTTTATTCGATTTCAAAATGGTCATTTGGAGCTACAAGTGGAAGTACTTATGCTGGAACAGCAGGTATAGCTGGATCAACTGCCACAACGTTATTGAATCCAGCTAATATTATTCTCGATTCCTATAATAACTTATATGTAGCTGATGCATATAATATGCGTATACAAATGTTCTGTGCAAGTTCCCCAACACAAGGGGTAACCATAGCTGGTATCAATCAACAGCAAGGCTATACAAGTCTAAAATTAAGTATGCCCTATGGTCTTGCTCTTGATAGCGGGTATAATCTATACGTTGCCGATACAATGAATCATCGAATACAAAAATTCTCCAAAGCATCCTAAAACAAAAAGTTAGACATATCTGTAGCCAAACTTTAAAGATGTAATTAACCATGTTGCGCATAATGTTGCATCATATAGCAAACGAAAGTCAAATGTAATTTAACTAATACACATTTTAACTGAATAAACATTAATTCCATTAATTAAGCCAACAGATTTTAAGAAACGGCGAATCACTACCTTCTGTATGAAAAAAATGAAATAGAAGAAAACTTTAACTTTCCACAACTTATTTATCATTAACTATTTGCTATGCTTTACTTTATTTATACATTTTCAGAATTATCATAATCCTTCATATTTGATTCCCTTTTGCGATTCCCCTTTATTTCATTGACTGAAGCATCAAAAAACAAATACTGGATGAGGGCCCTTTAAGGACCACTTATTTTTAAAAATTATATTTATAATCAGAAAATCTTGTGCATTTTGAAAATTATTTATTGAAAATTTACATGAGGGCTCTCATGTTAAAACTGCCATAGATTATTTTTCGTTCAGTAACTCAAGCAATACAGTGTATACGACAACATCTACAGTAAGACAGAGGCACCATTTTTATAACTGTTCTCCTCCGTAGTGTAAATTTTCTCTTACTGTTCCTTTTTTCTCTACATGCAGTGATAGACTGTATAGGTCATCTTTGAACGATGGGAAAGATATGAAAACAATATTTCAATCTCTTCTCTTGACATACAGCAGTTAGAGAACAGCCAATCAACAGCCAATACACCTAAAAAAGAGAGTGATTTTTGCGGACTGACTTTATCTAGTACATATTACAGCTGATATCAACACCTTTTAGAAATATATTCAGAGTTCTCTTACTAGAAGCCGTTACTGAGATATCAGTGGTTTTCAAAAAATTCTTTGTCATGGCAACAGCGTTATAATTCTTCGAGTTGTTGAAGTGCTGTATTAATATGCAGATTTTTGTCACAATTTTGGATCTCCATATTAATGTCCAGCCCAAAAAAATGATGGAATGGTCTACAGGTTCTGAAAATGGCTCATTAATCTGGTTTACTTATGTAAGATCGATTTTTTGAAAATTCCTGGTGGCAGTCTTTAAACTCGTTACGGCATGATGTGAGTGAATGGACATGAACACTACAGCACCAATTTTTTAAACTCGTACGAGTTGAACTATATTTCTATGCTATATTAGTTCTATGCTATATTAGAGCATAATACAGTTTTGAACTCGTAACATCTTTTTAAACTCGTACGAGTTCAAAGCAGCCTCCCCAGCCAAAAAGAACTATAAGGCTATTGCCATGACAAAGAGTTTTTTGAAAAACACTGATATCTCAGTAACGGCTTCTGGTAAGAGAACTCTGAATATATATTCTAAAAGGTCTTGATATCAGCTGTAATATGTACTAGAAAAAGTTCCACAAAAACCAGTCTCTTTCTTTAACTTCAAGTATATTGGTGAATATCTAACTGGCTTTTGATTGTATGAGTCATCGTCGTGTGGCTACGTACCATTCTTCAATATTCTCGAAACATGAAAATCATATACTCAATGTAAACTATATGTCCCGACGATTATACGCACTCCAAATGTTCGAATTGTGTTTGCTCCGAAGAATTTTTAACTGACAGTTTTTAACTGTGACGGTTTTAACTGACGTGAGACAGTTTTTACAGTTACAGTTAACCATAACTGTTGCATACCTAGTGTAGATCTAGTCTGAAAAAACCGAAAATCCAACAATTCGAATAAACGACAAAGAATCATTTTTACACTACTTTTACATTCGTATCTATTAAAAATCCTAGAGACCAGCTCCAGGGATAACTATTATTTTGGTTCAGTCTTAACTGGATACGAAAATTTCAGGAAGAGATACGTAGAGTCTCGCGAAAATGCGACTTTATAAGGATGGTTTTTCCTTAATCTAGATTCTGCCTCGTGCGCCGCTTTTATTAAAGTAAAAGGTATGCAGAACTCCTAGTTTCTTGTTAGCTTGCTGTAGGGTTGCTAGGTCAGATCTTCAAAGAAGCTTGAGTTACCTGTCAGTGCTTCAGCAACTCTACACTCTAAAAAAAAATGCGACTTCAGCGATGTGTCTACCGAGAAAAAGTGTCTTTTGCATGACTACATTGCGTCTTCAATGTGTCTACTGGTAGACATATAGAAGTCGCATGGAAGACATGTGAACCAGAAAGACGCTTAGTAATCACATCTTCCCGCCTTCCATGTGACTCTACTAAGTTTTTAATGTCTCACATGAAACGTCAACGTAAGAGGCCAATAAGACTAATAATTAATGTGCCTATATGGTTCAGTGGTGAACACATTCGTCTGGTAAGCGAATAGACCGAGTTCAATTCTTGACAGGAACGAAAATTTTTTTTAATGCGTCTTTTCCAGAAGACACATCAAAGCGACTTCAAAAGAGTCGCTAAAATACGGCTAAATGGGAACCGGCTTCAGTGTCTTCCATGCGACTTAGAAGTAGACGGATGGATGTGACTACTACAGGTAGTCGCATGATGTGCCTTCAAAATAGGCGCAATTGTGCGACTAAATGGAACCGACTTCCCTGTCTTCCTAGAAGTCACATTTTTTTTACAGTGTAATGAGATTGCTCCGAGATTGGAAGAACTAGAAGTTTTTCATTATGTTCATTTTTTTGATTGTTTGTGGGAAACGTGAAAGGTTTTCGGGTGATTTTGAGTTGGTTTTAAATACCCATGCTAACTTGATACTTAACTTTCAGAAAAGGACTTTGCCACATCATAGTTCATTTATCCGTTCAATAAAATTATTCTAATTGGTATTAGTACAGATTTTTCTAAGTTCGTCCAGATAAAAAGTTCCTTATTTTCTTCGGATCTCGCTTCCACAAAAAGAATTCTGGGACAAGAGTTTTTGCCCAGTCCATTAAATTGAATTTCTTTAGTTTCGATCTCGAACAGTTCTCAAAAACAAAAATATGTTTTAGAATCTGCGTACGATGATGCCTACCTTTGACTTTGACTTATTGAAACGTGCTCGGTCACATAACGCGTGATTCCGTCAGAATTTTTATCGTTTTGCGAGTCTCTTGGCGTTCGAACAAAAGGAAACTATGGAATTGTGTACATCTAGTCTTGTGAAGAAAAGTGAGCTGAACAAAATGTGATGTTTTTCGTTTTCGCAAAAATATCGTGTCGTCAAAACAAAATTTTTACGAGCCCCAATCAAAAGTTCTCCAGAACGGGGCTCATAAAAGTTTTGTTATATTTGAGAACCACGACACTCTGCGGAAACAGAAAATATCACATTTTGTTGAGCTCCCTTTTCTCAACAAGACTATTAATCAGTATTCTCTGGAAAACTTTTCCCAAACAAAACTCTAGTTAAATTGTATTCATCAAAGAAAGATCAGAAAAACGGTAACGCTGTGACAAAAACGGTTACAATGTTACCGTTTTTCTTTCATTAGTACAGATTAATTAGAATAGTTTCGAACCTGACAAGCTATCACATCTTGTAGAGCAAACAATTTTCTATAAACTGGTGTACTTGTTCAACGTTCGCTTACAAACTTCGTGCTAAATTCCTGTTCATATTAGTAGGCCATCCTGAACAGAAGACCAGTTTCAAACGAAATTTTTTCAATACTGTTCTGTAGAAATGAACAGTACGACTTTTTCAAGAACCATTTTCTATACACCAAAATAGAAGGATATAACCTTCTATTCTGGGACGGTTTTAGTGCATCTTCCGGTCACTCTGACCTAAAGTGATAAAATGCTTATGACAGATATAACTAATGGAGCTGTAAAAATTCGATACGTTTCAGCTGTTATAAATCGAAGAAGAAGTTAAAAGGAAATAGAGAGAAAAATTATGTTATGGATCTGCAAAACTGTGTGCATGAGTGCTTTTTTATCAGAACATT